CACACACACACACACACACACACACACACACACACACACACCCACACACACACACACCCACACACACACACACACACACACACACACACACACACCCACACACACACACACACACACACACACACACCAACACATCTACCTGCAGACAGGCAGAGATGGAGCATCTATTTCTGTCTCCACCTCTGCACCTCCACCCGTCCATCAGACCACAGAGTGAAATCTCATGGTGCTGAATTTGAGTGAAGCCACACCAAACTGAGCGAGTGTTTGAAGCTCAGCTTCAGCAGCCACATGAATGTCTCCTGAGCAGCCTCGCTACAAACGCTGCTTCCTGCTTCTCCTCACTTGTTGTTTGTGCTTTTTTGAGCCCAACATGGTCTCCACCTCGTCAGCCCGTCAACAGCCCGTCAACAGTCAGCCAGTCTGACAACAGACGAGTGGAGTTCTGTAGAAAGGTGTTGCACGTTGCACAAACAGACTTGTTCAGAAATTACTCGTCACCACATCCTCTTCCTCGACTCGTTTGTCTTCATCCTTTAAAAACATGATGGCGGCTCCAGACGGAGACCAGAACTCTGAGGTTTCACTGCAGCTTCAGGGAAACAGACCTGAGGGTAAATGATCTGACACCAGGTCTGTCTGTGGAACAACAGGTTTAAACATGGCCGCCGCATGAAGGCCACGACTCAGCGGTTCTTTATCTGCTCTACTACATTTATCTACAGCTGCTATCAGCCCCTCCCCCACGCGCTCTTCTGACTGACTGATGTTTAATTTTATGTAATTGTGCTGAACACAACTTTAATCTTAACGTGTAAACAAACAAACAAACAGACAAACTAATGAAGCTCTTTGATTTCATCGAGACTTTGACTCAGAGATAAAACAGTCAGACTTCAGACAGACTGAGTCTGAATTCATCTGCTGCACAAACATTTTAATTCTTGACTAACTTAAGTCAGACTGTGGTGCAATGCATTCTGGGTACATTTAGATTTTTTTTTAAATAAAAAAATTGGCCAACGTAGGAAACTGTCATTAGTTAGAATTCAACAGTTACAAGACGATTTACTAAAGAGTGAAACAATAAAAAACAAAATGGCCGCTGTCTGTAAAAACTTCTCTGTTCTCTCTCTAACGTCAGCACACCACGTATATGAGCCGTGTTTTTCTGTTTCTTGTTGGTGTGTGCTGCTGGTCAGCGCAGGTGTTACTGATTGTTACCATGGTAACACTGATCTTAGGCCTGAGTTAGTCTGCAGGTGTCTGATGTTTCTGTCTTAGAATGAGTCAGTCTTTATTTTTCTGACTAACATCAGACTGATGTGAAACATCTGTGTGACCCCTTCATACTGTAATAATATCAGTATGAAGGGGTATTATAATTAGCTCATAATGAGCTCATGAATTTCTACTTCCTTGTGTAAAGAGCTGAACTCATTTATAGCTCATTGTATCTGTTGTTAATTGTCTTTGTTTCACTGTTTGGAGCTTGTTGTTGTTGTTGTTGTTGTTGTTGTTGTTGTCTCTTTTTAGACTTTTGGCTAATTGTAGGATATTACCACTTGTGTTGTTTTAGACTGTTTTAATGACATTAAACATGTAAAAGCCAGAACGGGAGAATCACCAACAGCTATAAACTCTCTGTGCAACACAACTTTAAACTGCTGCTCACTAGCTTGTAGCTGGGGACTATTTTCAGTGGCGGATTAATCCACATTTGGTGCTGTGTTGAGTGTTTGTGGCAGCAGGATAGTGTGTGTGTGTGTGTGTGTGTGTGTCAGTGTTTGCAGAGGCTGTGACACCTGAGCGACAGGTAAACCACGGACAGCCTCAGAAACAGCTGCTACAACTGACACAGAGCTGCTGTGGGAATCATGTCTGCTGCATGTTCACACACACACACACACACACACACACACACACACACACACACACACACACAGTCAACTGTGTCTGGTCAGAACTGTCAGTGGGGGCGGGGGTGTTAACAGTATTTTCACTATCTATAATGCATCAAACTGTATCAATATGTGTCTAACAAATACAAACTTTATCATTTACTTTATATTTACTTTGATCCATAAAAATGAAAAACTGAATCATGTTTCATTTGTTCTGAAACTGCAGCATCAAACAGAAAGTCACAGATTTATAATGTATTACAGGAAGTGCAGCTTCATCTCCGTCTGATTTCGGTTTAAACTGAGTCTGTTCTGAAGAGGTCATCAAACACCAGTCATGGTCCCTGAAGGAGCCTGAACCAGATCCACATCTGAGACCTGATCAGGTCCGCAGGCCTTCAGGAACACAGGAACCCTTCAACAGTCTGTTCTGCTGTGTGGTAGAACCTCATTATGTTCTCATGCATCATGGTGGAGAACATTTAGAGCTGAGTTAATGTTAGTAAGTATTTTAGTAAGCTAGCTGGTTCCAACTCTGTGAGCTTGCTAGCTAGCTAGGTGTTATCAGGGAGTAAGTTCATTTCTAAACTGGACTCCAATCAGATGTCGACTCAGATTTAAATTCACAGATTGAATTCAGTGAATTCATTTTTAACCTGACACACTAACTGACAGACACAGTGACTGACAGACAGACACACAGACAGATAGACAGACACACAGACAGATAGACAGACAGACTGACGGACAGACAGACACACTGACTGACAGACAGACACACAGACAGATAGACAGACACACAGACAGATAGACAGACAGACAGACTGACGGACAGACAGACACACTGACTGACAAACAGACGGACTGACCGTTTGTAGACGCTCGTGGTGTCCAGAGGACGATCCTCTGGCGCCATCATCAGATCATCTGTTAGTTGTGACTCATGATTTATCAACATTTTAATTTAATTTATTTTAATTAAAACTCTGTTTGCTAATTAGCTAATGTTAGCATGCCCGTTAACTATTGCACATTCCCCCAGTCATTTTGCAGTGTATGTTTTTGTATTGTTTATATTTTCTAAAATGTTATTATTGGAAATATTTCACTTTATTTTAAATCTTTCTATTTGTATTTAAGCTAGCTGACCTGCTGTGCTTCATCTTCAACTTCATCTTTGTTGACATATTTTTTCTTCTTCTATGTTTATCGTTTTGAACCAAAGTAAATTCCTTTTTTTTTTTTAAACCCTTGTGGCAATAAACCTGATTCTGATGCTAACACGCTAAACTAAGATGGTCAACATCATGTTAGCATTTAGCTCAACTACAGCCTCACAGAGCTGCTAGCATGACTGCTAACAGTCAGTCTGGGGTTTAACACATTAAACATGAGTCAGTGTTTTGCGACGCTGGTCCATGAATCACAAACTGTAATCTGAGACAGTCTGAGCTTCGTTCAGTCACATCAGAGTTTAATGTGAAGAACTTCACTGCAACGTGAAACTTAGAGATTTTCATCCCAAGGAAACAGATTTCAGCTGCTGCATCTTTAATAAAGATCAAAAATCTTGTGGTGAAGCTCTTCACAGGTTTATTCCACTCGCTTCATGAACACGTCAGTTCTACCTTCAACCTCAGGGTTCACACCGTCATCAGCCTGTGACATCACAGTGACAGCGATGAGCCGGCCCCTTTCATTATTCATTAATATTAATTAGTGTCATCACATGATCATACAAATCACACAGAGGAAGAACAGAAATATAAAAGACTGAAGGGTCTGTGTTCTGAGCTGATGATCAATACACCTGATCAGTCTGATCAGAAAAAGGCAAAACAGGAAGACAAAAGAAAAGTATTGATTATTTTTCGATTGAGTGAACAGGAAACATCCTGGTACCTGCTCTGTCACTGAAACACACCTGTGAGAACACCTGTGCTCTGCTCCACTTAGTCGCCTTCTTCATACAGCTGTGACAGATGTGATGATCACGTTTCACACACGCCTGAATCCTGTCGTCCTCAGTCGTTTAACCTCTGACTCAGCTGATCACTGATCACTTTTGTCTCTCATGTTCTATTATCAGACTAAATATTAAATATTCAGGCGAGAGGGGAGAGATGAAGCACCTGAACACAACACGTACCTGTGGCTGATTAAAACAGCTGCGCACAGGTGTCAGGTGACCTGAGCACACCTGCATCAGCCTGTGAGTAAATATCATTTTATACAGGAAGTATCTCTGAGTATTGATGAATTATTGATATTTATTTCAGCTGGGTGATGTTGAAACATCTGTGATTATTTATCTTCTTCATATAGAACCTGAAACACCTGTCACAGCTGCTGAGACCTCCCTGAGCTTTCTGTCACCTCTCACTGACCTTCTTCATCCTCCAGGACACATTCCTGTTCCTTCTGTGAGGTCCTGTCTGTGACACCAAAAAAAAAAGAAGAAGCAGAAGAAGAAAAGAAGAAGAAGAAGAAGAAGAGACTCTGGGCACAGGTGAGTCCTCCTGTAGTGTCTGTGCTGAGGCAGGTGGAGGAGGAAGTGTTGTCCAGTCAGGACACACACTGATGTAAGGATGGTGAGGTGTGTGTGTGTGTGTGTCAGACTCTGATGAGGAAGTCCAGGCCGAGCGAGGCAGGGATGTGCAGCGTCTCCAGGCTCAGGGCGGAGGGCGTGTAGGGGAAGAGGACGGGGAAGGTGTGTTTGGTGTCCACCAGGAGCTGAGGAGGGTCGTTCCTCTCCTGAAGACGGTTCTGGACACAGAGACAGAGACACAGTCAAACAGGAGACACTGGACACACTCACTTTATTAGGAACACCTGTTTAATGCTGGACGAGCGGATCCTCATTAGAACAAGATGAACTGTGGCCATGAAGCTACATGCTACATAATAACACCTGAGCAGGTACAGCACAGGTGAGACATACATGCTGTTCCATTATCTGTAAATCTCCAGCTCCTCAAAGCTACAGTGGGACAGGTGAGACAGGTGAGACAGGTGGGACTGGTATGGTCAGGTGGGGACAGGTGTGGACAGGTGGGACAGGTGGGACAGGTGGGTACAGGCTGGACAGGTGGGACAGGTAAGACAGGTGTGGAGAGGTGGGGACAGGTGAGGACAGGTGGGACAGGTAAGACAGGGGGGGGCAGGTGGGAATAGGGGGGACGGGTGGGACAGGTAAGACAGGTGTGAACAGGTGTGGACAGGTGAGACAGGTGGGACAGGTAAGACAGGTGTGGACAGGTGGGTACAGGCTTGACAGGTGGGACAGGTAAGACAGGTGTGAACAGGTGTGGACAGGTGAGACAGGTGGGACAGGTAAGACAGGTGTGGACAGGTGGGTACAGGCTTGACAGGTGGGACAGGTAAGACAGGTGGGACAGGTAAGACAGGTGTGGACAGGTGGGCACAGGCTGGTCAGGTGTGGACAGGTGAGACAGGTGGGACAGGTAAGACAGGTGTGGACAGGTTGGTACAGGTTGGACGGGTGGGGACAGGTGGTCAGGTGTAAACCGGTTGTGGAGCAGGATGAAACGCTGCAGGTTCAAGTGATGTGATGACTCCTCCAGCCACAAGGGGCGACAGTGAGGACATGAACACCTGAGACTCACCTGGATGTTTCTGATGAACGACACAGTGACTCTTTCTTCGAACTCGTTCAGAGGAGTGTATAGGTTCAGGATCTTCACAATCTGCAGGAGACACATCAGTGGTATTGATCAGGTATTAATCAGGTGGTATTGATCAGGTGGTGTGTGTGATGTCAGCTGACCTGCTGGGTGGTGAGGGCGGAGCACAGCGAGCAGATGGCCTCGCCGTCCTGAGACGTTTTCTTCTTCACCTGCAGCAGCTGAGCGGCCTGAATGATCGGCTCCAGAGTTGCTGCTGCTTTACTCTGATACAGGTTGTTCCCCCGAAGCCACTCCTCCATCTGACTGGTGTTGTACCTTCACACACACACACACACACACACACACACACACACACACACACACACACACACACACACACACACACACACACACAGAGACACATTAATGACTGATAAGTCTGTGTGGTCTGGTCTGGGGGTCTGGTCTGGGGGACTGGTCGGGGGGTCTGGTAGGGGG